CTAATAAATTTAAAACATGGTTATATAATCTTTTTTGTAATTGATATTTCTTAGCATCTGCCCAACTTTTAGAACTATAACAATAAAACATTTCAGATAAATTTTGAGCATATGCTGGTACATCTTTAGCTAGAATCGTTCTCCCACCATATCCAACATATGAAGTTTTAGAAAGTCTTATTTTTCAAGAAGTTATATCTAAAAATTTCTTGTTTTCAGAAGAGCCATCATTTCTGACTGCTTTCCAGATTCTATTGGATTCTGATTTAGGCTTTTTCTTATAATTTCAATAAGCAGTTTGTATAATTCTTGCTTTTTTGAAATCAGTCTTTGGTTCATCACAATTATTATCCTAATGATTAGTCATCAAATCACTAGGTACAAGATGATCAACATATCTTTGTCTAGTAAAATGAATGATTTTTTAGGTTGTACATCATCAATTTTTATAAGTTTCAAGCAACCAAAACAAATAGCTATATGACTTTATGAATTCTTGGTCTGTAATAATCGAAATTAACAAATTTACCTTTACCATATAACATAAATAAACAATATTGATAATATATACTAAATTTTCCTGAATTTAACAAATCTTGTAATAAAATTCTTACTCGTATTGCCTATTAAACAGGTGTTTCATTCTGTTTTATAGTAGATAAAGTGTCAAATAATCTCTTATTATCAAAAATTTGATTGAGTTTATTAGCATAAGTTCCACTATAATGTGATATATATGATACAGCATACTTCATATCAAAACTGTGATGATTAATATACAGTTTAGGAAGTGTTTTATCTTTTTTATCAATAATAGTAGTGATATCAAAACCAGACATATTATCACTTATATATTTAGCAGTTTTTGTATTTTTGACCTATTAGAATTGGTACAATATATATGATTAAAACCAGATTCATTTTTAATACGAATTGGGTTATTAGATTAGTTGTCATATTTTGTGAGTGATATATAAATGAGAATGGGAAAGATGCATATTGGGTCATAGTGAGAATTGTAGACCTAAAGGGTGCGAAAAATTTTACTTGTACTATTCTTGTATTCAAATTGTATCCCATATAAAAAATTAAGAAATAAAATTAAAATTATATTTTATGCAGTCCAATTGAATCATCTAATTGATTATTTTTGCTAACTGAATGAACCACCCAAGTCAAAGTACTGAGCCACTAGCAGTAATAATTATGCCCTTTTGAATACACAACATACATAGTCAGAGGCCCTATCGTCAAGAGGTAAAGACTCAAGCAAATTTTTTGCATAACTATACATACTCGTAACAAGTAACCTGAGTAATTGATCTATCAACACAATATAATCTTGTGCAAGAAAATAAAAATGTACTACTTACCCAATTCATCCAGCATATTATAAAATTTTCAGATTAGATCATAAATGATAATATAGCAATATATTATATACTTATGTAAATTTTGAGGTGGATACATTCAAAGCTATTTCTTATCTCATAGCTCAGTGAACTAAACCGTGAAAAGCTTATCAGGTCTTCCTCTCCTCACTATGAAGACAATTATAACTGACGATCACGCTCTCTAAAATTAGATTTTTATAAGTATAGAAAAAATAAATTGCAAGAAGGAAATAGTCAGATCCTAGGCCTGCCTCAAAAGGCTATAACTATACCTGAGAAGGCTATTCTATAAAGGATAGATCGTGTATTTTTTGTGAACCAGATAATCACCTTCACCTAAGTATTGAGCTATCTAAGGTAATTATAAGCCCATTGAGTCTCACAATATTGCATAGTCGAGGCCCTATCATTTAATTTTAAAGATAAAATTTTTTGCTTGACTAAGCATACCTGTACAAATGGCTCTGGCAATTGTCTTATCAACACAAAACAATCTAGTGTAAGAAGTTAGAATATCGGTAAAAAATTTTAGACAAAAAGTGAAAAAAAGATTTTATATACATTTATTTGAGCTTTATACACATAGCATATTAATAGTCTTGATTATCCTTTTTTTAGATAATTGTATATTTGTTTTTAAGAGGCAGATTACCTAATAATGATAAACTATAAATATTTGTACATCCAGGCCACAGAATATTGTCGAATAATTACTAACAAACAATTATTGCACATGACAAATCAATCAACAATCGCATATTTTCTATATTGAGATTAAATTGTTAATAACTTGTTAAGCAGACATACTTATACAGAGTATGATGATAATTTTACACGCTATATTAAGCCAGCCCCAGATTTACAAATTTGGGACTGGTTTGCAATAACTTTACTGCTTTAGATAAAACAAGTTTGAGAGATCTATTTCTGGTATTACAAGTATATGATTTAATTTTCTGGCAATAAGAATGTGCACACTCACCATTTGAGATCATCCTGGTTGAGATAAACAAATCCGAGATATACAAATTTGAGGCATACGAAGTTGGTTAATTATACAAAATTTTAGACATAATACCAATTCAAGTTTGGTTATAATGATTTTTTTGAGTAACATGAAATAGAAAATTGCATGAACTCTAGTTAAAGTTTGGTTATTCATTCTCATAATGAATATATAATAAAATATAAATATGGGTTGAACTAGGGTTGAACTCAGGTTAAACTCAGGTTGAAAATAGTAGAATGGACAGATATATAAACACGTACTCTAATCGAAGAACAAAGAAATAGAAATATAGAGTATTATAGCCATAGAAGAAATCAAAACATATTTTAGAATAGTATTGCAAATAGAATAAATAAAGCTCATAATACTAATTTTACTGCTTATCACTGTAAAGAAACATTTTCAAATCTTGTTCTGAGTTATAATGTAAGTTCACACTATAAAGCATTATTTTTTTATCTGGCTTCTATTAACATAATTAATTTACTGATTAGGTGATATGTGAATATATGTTAGATAGTCGTGAAGCATGTAGAAATCGAATGAGTGCACATTACTTTGATGAGTTTTATATGCATTTCTAAGAAAGGCCTGAAGATAAATTTGATAGAATCTATAGTCTTAATACCTCAAACTGTAGCCATAATAGAGATGTAGAAAATACAACACCAGCACCATCTATTGAGGAAGTTGAGCATGTATTGAGTATGGGATCTTCCATTAGATGAATAAACTGGTCTCCATCTATTATTAATAGAAGGAGTCAAAGATATTCACCATATCCTACTTCACTCCATGATAATGCTAATATAAACAACCCTGGTATAAAAAATTCTGAGCAAAATATTAGCATTCTCCTGCCTCCAATTGAAACATTATCTCTCCAACCACCACCTTACTCACAGGCCACAAATGAAGCACAAAATAATAATTAGAGCCAAGATAGTTCTAACTACGAAGTAGCTATCTCTGGCAGTAATCTAATATCTGATTTGCTAAATTTATCCTTATTATAAACAAAAGTGATGCCATTATACACGATATAGCTAGTCAACCACTCTTCTATACAGAATTAATAAATGAAGAGGAAGGATAAAGATCCTCAATCACTTTTCTTTATTTAATAAAAATAGTACAGTTATGACTCTTCGAGTCACCCTATGGGCCTGCTGTATATATATGAATATATCGCTAATTTTTGATATTTTGTTGTGTAGTAGCATCATGTGATTTTGGCACTGGAATTTTACCAAAAAAAATAAAAAATAAAGTCTCAGAAAATATCTGATATTTCTAGTAATAAAATCGATTGCATAACACAGATGTTCAATCAACATATCATATGTTATACCAAAGAAGAAAATCAAAGGTCATACTTCTGCATGTATAGTGGCTTAGCAATTTTATATATGTTTATTAAGAAAAAGCCAACAGCACTTCAGATGCAAAGCTTCCTCCTTTCAGGAGACAGTGGCTTAATAGCAGTTATCTAGAATTTAATATGTACTTGTAAACACATATGTGCACTATTTCAATATAATCACATCGCTAGTATTTATTATGTATCATACTATTATATGATTTAACAGTCCCACAGGTCCGCTTTTCCATGATCACTTAACATCAGGTTTATCAATTCGAATAAGTGATAAAACCTTGGCTGGTTTTAATAATCAATGGCCTGCATTATTGCTTTGCAATGACCCAAAGAGTTTAAATTTTATGTGGTGTCACTCTCCTGCAGAATCATTTCTCACAATCAATTTTTGTTAACAGCTACTAAACAAATAATAACTAGAAGCTTTATTATACATGATCTTATGATAAGAAAAGAGATAAATGGAGCTTAAAAGGGCTATAAGAGTGAAAAGTACAATATTATTTATCAGTAGTTTTATTCAAATTTATATATTACAGAGACTTTAAATCTCTGCAATCTTGTAGATCTAGCCTACTCTGAGTGATCTGCAAAATCTAAGAGATCAAATTTTAACTAAAAAAATATCAAAATAGAGTCAGCATTTGGGACTTATAACCAAATGAACTTGCTTTACATGGTGGAATCTAGTCTGTATTAGGGTAACGTAATGTAATATTTTTTCTAGTAGGTTTTTAGATCTAACGAATAGATAGTATAAAAAGAAGTGAGTTTTCACTATAAGATAAGTTAGCAATAATATTATTTTTTGCTCATATATATTTTACTTGGTTTACTTGCTCGTATTTTTTAAAGTAATTTTTTATTTCATTTAACAGAGACTATAAAAATAAATTTTTGCTTACTTTGTTTTTTGTATTTAGATATGAAAAATGAGCAGTAACAAAAAAACT